CGGTCCTGTGGAATGACCACCGCGCAGTGAGTCGGGGTGACTTGATTTCAGGTCCTCCTCCGTTTCCGGTGAGCTCTGTGTCCCCGCACGTCCTCTGCGCTTCAGTTTGCAAGTCTCTGAAATGGAAGGGTTGTCCTGGCGGACATGAGTGTGTGTGTCCTCCCCAGAACACTTCCATGAAGGAGACTGAAACCAGGGGCTGCCCGCCCCCCCCCCCAAGTGGACGTGCCTGCCGATGAGGAAGCAGCTGTTCTGTGACTCACAGTTTCCTTTTAGATACTCGAAAACTCGGGGAAAATCCTAACGTGTGTGTGGTTGGAAAGAGGTGGAAAGCTTAGAAACATTCTTTCTTGGAGTTTTTCAAACATTCCCAATTTCAGGGCTTAATTTCTTTCAACTGGATCCCTGCCCCCTGCCCCCCGCCCTGCACTGCTGCCACTTGGCCTTCCTGTAGGGCCTCACATCTCTGCTTACACGCAGGACGCCTGGGGAAGCAGGTGACCTGGCTGAGGCCCTGCCCATTCCCGTCCATCACGAACCAAGATGACCCAGTCTCCCGCTTCCCTCGTCCCATCGGCTCACCTTACTTGTTCAACTTAATGACTGACTGCAAGGAAATGCTCCCTTTATCTGAGGGCTGGTGTGGCGTCTGGGGCAGGGAGCTGGGGAGTGGAGGGCCTGTGGTTCCTGGCAGAGACGTTGCTCGGCGCTGGCCACTCAGTCAGGCCAGCCCCTAAGGAGTTTAAAGAAGACGGTCCTATTGGCAGCTTCAGGACTTTGCTGAAACAGCCACCTCTTCAGAGCTAGTCCTTCGGCAGAATTTGAGTCCAAGGTCTTTGCTGGAGCCAGAGAGTAGGTGTCAGTGTGGCCCCGGGGTCACCCGGAATGGAGTGGATGGGGGAAGCTGACTTATACTTGAGTTTCTGATGGACACTCCCTGGTGACCACCCCAACCTGCCATCCACACCACGAGGAGGGAGCGTGGGTGACGAGGGCTTTTTGCTGGATGCTTTTGTACAGAATCTGCATGACAACTCTCCCAGGTAGGTGTCACTGCAGCTGGGGCGGGGGCAGTGAGCGGCCCACCACGAGCAGGGCTGAAGACGTAGCATCGCCAGTCGAGCTTGCAGAACCCTTGGAGTGTGCGTTCTGCCCTCCTACCTCCACAACTCACCTTCCTGTCTGGAGAGCCAGTTCCAATGTAGGGTTCTCTGACTCCTTGGGATTTGCATCAGGGGTGGTGGAGGCAGAGGGCTGGCCTCTTTCCTTGCCTGACCCACCCTGGGAAGCATCTCCCGTGCACACCCAGCCCACATGGCTGTCCCTGGGCCACATCCCTGTCATGGTCACTAGGTTCAGGGCTGCTCGGGCAGGGAGTCCTGAGGTCCTAGGGTGCAGGCAGTGCCGTGCACCCCGGGTGGGCATGTCCCAGGCCCTGCAGGGACGGGTGCAGCCCAGGACCAGGTCTGGGTGGCGACAGAGTTCTAGGTCCTCGAGTCCTGTCTGTTCCCACAGTCCCTCGCCCCCTCCTCTGTGCTCCGTGGTCACCACTTGGAGTAAGGTTTCTGGGGACTGCCCCGGTCTGGACACGGTATTGAAAAGCACCTCCAACCCAGGGGACAGGGGCTCAGTCCTCCCCGCGTGTGTCTGAAGTGCACGGCGACAGAGGAGTTAGGTGCTTTTATGTGATGTGACTCTTGGTGAAAGGAGGGTGGTTCTTGGGGAGGGCGCGGCTACGCACCTGTGCCCTGCGCGGGGAGGGGCAGGTGCTGGGACTGGTTGTGGCTCTCCCGTCGCCAAGGTGAGTGGGCTCTGGCCACCACCCGGGATGAGCAGCTCCAAGCTGACTCTTGGGTTAGGATTCCCTGATGCCTGGCACCTTCAGCAAAGCAATTTGGAATCTGCTTTGCAGATTCGTTATTCTGCTTAAAGACAGGCCAGCTCAGCACTTCCGAGGGCAGCAGGCACCTCTGGTTTTACTTTAAGATGCAAGGGCCTGCTTTCTCAGCAACGAAGGTGGCCCCAAGTGAGGGCCTCTGAGGGGCTGCCTTCCTAGATGTGCGAGTCCAGAGGGGCAAGGCCTTCTATTCCTGTGTAAATCTAATTACAGGAGATCTGGGAAACTCAGCGAGTTCAGAATAAAGCCACAAAGATTGTTCAGGAAAAAAAAATGAGAGTAGAAGAGAACCATGAAGGAGACGCACTGGCCCTGGTCGGACCCGGAGGGGAGCTGTCACTGTCATCGCTCGCATGCATTTGGAGAACAACTGGGGGATGACGTCTAACTGGTGTTATTTTAAGTGTGGTGATGACGTGTAGGGGTCCAGGCAGCCTGCTTTCACGCGCTTCATAGAAGAAATGGGTGTGTGTGCTCAGAAAGGAAGAAATGCAGCCACATGGTCACAAAGCCGCATCCAGACCAGGGTGTGGCTGTGTGTTTTGCTGTGATACCATTCTTTAAGCTTGCCTGTACGTTTGGAAACTTTGCAAATGGAACAGTGATGGTGGATGAACTGAAAGATTTAGCCCAGAGAGTAGGGGACACAGCCAGCCAGCAGTAGTCTCTGGGTTTTGTAGGTAAAAATCTTCGGCCAAGAGTGTGGTGATTGCCCTCTGACCCGGGACAGAGAAGGTCGGAGAGGCAGCGGCCAGGACGCCATCTCCCAAGGGCTTCCAAAGGCTGGAGGTCTTCAAAACAGGGCAAGTTTATCCACAGGAGCCAAGTGCAAACCCTGTTCCTTCCAGAAGTCCAGGCTCTGGGGACATGATGGTCACTGGGAAGCAGGGGACACAGTTCCTTGAGATCTAACCCACCAGCTTGAGCTGTGTGTCTGTCGTGTGCCAGCCCTGTGCTGGCTGGGACACGGCCAACTGCTTGGCTGTCTAACTAGGTTGAATAAGTAACAGCAAAGAACTGAGGAGATGGCCCCCTCCCTTGCAGCCCCGGCCACCCCCTCCATTTCTGAGTTGAGCTCATTCAGACAGTGGTAACGGTCAGGTGACAGGCATGCCTCCCCTCACCCCACCTCGGCCACTTTTGTGCGGAGTTGGGAACAAAAATGTAAACCCTGTTTCCTGTGTCTTTCCTAGACAAGGGTCAGACAGGTGGGGGACGTGTGACCATGAAGCAGTGCTGTGTTTGTGGAATTGTAACTCCCTGGATAGCCAGACGGTGGTGGAGGGGGGGCTGCAGCCTGTTTTGTTGGACTGGAAAGTGAACTGAAACGCTGATGTGATCCTTAAGCCCACCTCCTGGAAGTCTGGGTTCAGATAAAATCAGTCTGCCTGTTGGGCAGTGGGTGAGTGGGACCAGAGGGCCTCTAAATTCTCTCCCAGCTCTCACGTTCCGTGACTGGTCAACGTCCATAAGAGGAAACCCAGCTCACCTGAAGTGCAGCCGGATTGTGCCATGTCATGTTCTTTGTTTGTTTGTTTTGGGTGGGGAGGGGGTAACTAGGTTTGTTTCTGTATTTAATGCTGGGGACTGAACCCAGGGCCTCATGCGTGCTAAGCACATGCTCTACAACTGGGCCATACGTCCCCCTCCCCGGCCCCTCATCTTGAACACAAGAGGCAAGAGGTGCAGGACGGGGGCAGAGACAGCAGCCAGCCAGGACTGTGGAGGGGACACAAGCTGGGTGGGGTGGGGTGGGGCTGCCCGGCGAGCTGGACTGGAGGGTCCCGTCAGGGCCACGGCAGAGGGGTGGGGGGCGAGGCGGGCCTTCAGCAGGGTTTTTTTAGTTGAAGTGTAGTTGGTTTACAATGTTGTGTTAATTTCTGGTGTGCAGCACAGTGGTTCAGTTATATACATACATACCTTTTCATATTCTTTTTCATTACAGGCTGTTGTTATTTTATATTTTTAAAAGTAGTCTTTGTGTTATTTTTCCAGTAAAAACTGAAGGGCGAGTTTCACGAGATGAAAAGCTCTGGAGGTCTGTACGCAACACTGCGAATGAACCTAACGTCACTGAACTGGACGGTTAAAAACGGCCACGATGCTGCGTTCTAGGTGCCGAGCTTTTTACTGCAGTGTAAACTTTTTTGGTAGGAGAGAAATAGATGAGCTTCAGGGAAGTTCTAAAAGACTAAAAAGTATCAAAGGACGAACTCCCACCCCAGACGCCGCCGATTACTTAGTGGCACTTGGACCTGTTGCTCCCCAGTCTTCTCGGAGGCCAGCCTGAGGAAGGGAAGGAGGGAGGGGCTCTCCCGTCGGCTCTGCCCAGAGCAGCCCTCGCACGAGACTGTCCCCACGGCTCCGTTTGCAAAGTGTTCTCTGCCCCGTCTCCAAGACTCCTGCAGTGTCCTCTCCTGGGAACACTGGGGCACAGAACTCGCCTGCTAAGGAAGGTGGGGAGCCTGGAGGTCAGAGGGGGAGGCTTCAATTCGGCTCTGCCACCCAGGACCTGCGTCTGTAACTGCAGCCTTACAGGCCACCGGGCAGGTTGTGTGGGTCTGTCAAGAGTCCCTTCCCAAGGGGTCTGGCACAGCAGGCACTGCACACCCCATAAACTCCTGTGGAGTTTGGCTGGGACCCCATAAGCGCCCCTCTCCGTCCCGGGTGCTAGAAGACAGCCTTGCTTGCTTGGTTGAGACCACTGGGCTATGAAAAAATTAAGGTTACACTAAGCAGAGGAGAAACTGATCTAAGTGGTTATGTGATTTGGAAGGTAGATTTGTGTGTGTGTGTATGATGGAGAAATACATACTCAGCTGCCTTTTATTTAAAATCAAGTGTTGACCTCGTTGACAGAAGAAACAGTTACATCTTTTAGTGGACAGGAGGGGAAAGGGAAGACGACACAGAGGGGGCAGGCAGAGCTCCGAGCACAGGGAAGACAGCTCGCACCTCAGACCCCGGCCTAGCTCGGTCCATCTCACGGACTCCCCCACCCCCGCTCCGGCAAGAGACCCTCAGGCCACCTCCTCACCTCCCCCAGCACTCGGAGCCTGCCTGCCCCTCCCCTGCGCGTCTCTAGAGCCTTCGGACCTGGTCTGCTTTTTCCAGCCCTCCTTACCGCCCCCGGCTGGTGTGCGAGCAGAAGCTGATGGGAAAGGCATTTACAGCTGTGCTTCTGCAACTAAAAGCTCTGATGGGAATGTTCAGGGTTTGTTTGCTGCTTAAGCCTGTGGCTTGGATTAAATTAAGTTGATCTGTGCTACCCCCACCTGCAGCTGGGGTTATCTGATGTGCCCTTTTTCTGGTCCCAGATTCTGGCTGGACGTCACAGCGGCGTGTCAGAGCTGAGCTTCCATCTGCCCCCTGACACCCCCGTCTGTCTCAACCGCATCACCAGGCCCTTGTCCAGTGCGCTGCATTGAGGACGCTTGCCTCCTGGGCTAGACTGTAAACTCCCCCGCTTGGAGACCTGACCACCTGCGTGTTGCCCACAGCCCTCAGCACATGCATTCACACACAACTGCACTTAGTAAGTGACTGTGAAAGAAAAAAATAGAAAAGGGCAAGTTCGCAGCATCCAAGGACTTTCCTCTTCTACAAGGAGGACCCAGAATGTTTATTTTAAAATTTAATAATGCCTCCCTCAACAAAAAGGCTTCCACCAGAGTTTGCTCAGAATTAAATATAAATTCAGGCGATGCTTTTAAAAGAGAAGAGCTCACAACTGATTATGATCAGCCAGGTATTTGCCCGAGTCCTTTCCTAGTGGCTCCGGCTGGTCCCGCTGAGCTCAGGGTATCCATCTGGTCTGCGGCCTGGCTGCTCTGTGCAGGGCGGGGACGTGCAGGGCGGGAGGGGAGGCGTCCAGCCGCCCTGCCTCCTCTGAGGCTCTGAGGCGGACCGCGCCGTCTCAGCTGACAGGCTTGCTCTGAGGGCACCTGGGATGCGGTAGGTGCAGATTCTTACTGTTTCTCCGCAGGAAACCCTGGCCATTCGGAGATCAAATGCCGTTCAGGCGAGCACACCGCGCAGCTGCCTCAGCTGTCCCGGGAATGCTGCGGCGGCCGCACCCTCAGTCCCCAGCTGGCCCGGGATTCAGAAAGCATCTCTCCCGCCCATCCCCACAGCTCATCCTGCTTTCCTGCTAATGACCCCGTGAGCGGCTCCCAGACGTCCGCCACGTGGCTCACGCATGCACTCCCGGAGGCGTGAGCGGGTCCACTGCGGTTACCCACCGCCCTACCCGAGGCAGGTGCCCTCCGGGTCTTCCCAGGCCAGGAAGCCAGGTAAACCGCCCTGGGCCACGCACCGAGACTCCAGCGTCTTCAACTGTTTAAACTTCATTTTATTGTGGTGAGAACACGTCTCCTGGTTCTCAGGTGTGCCCTGGGTAACTGCTGGCTCCAGGTGCAGCCAGGAGATCTCCGGGGTGTACAGAAACCGTAACCCCCCGCTGCCCGGACCCGGCTCCCTGAGCTGGAGGCAGGCCGTGGGCTGTGGGGCTGTTGAGATGCATGTGCGTCAGACCTGTTCCCGCCCAGGTAGGACTGGTTGGAAACTGATCAACAGGGAGAACCGTTTTGTCTGGTGTTCATTCCAGGGAGAGCTGGGGGGCCACGAGCCTTTTCTCGCCGGTGAGGCCCCCCGCACCCCCACCATGCATCCTCGCTGGACGGGAGCCTCTGCCCAGGGCCCTCGCCGAGGCCGCCATCTCCACCCTCTCGTCTGGCTCCTGCTCAAGAGAACAGCTGGGGAGGTGGCACCTCGAGGCCCACGACTATTTTTACGTGGCCATCTGTCCCCGACCAGGCCTGGCTGGCAGCGACAGGCCCAAGGAATCCCGCAGCAGGTGGGAGACACCCGGACAGCTGAGGATGCACGGCCCGGCCCCAAGTGCTGTTCTGGGGAGGCTGGAAATGTGGTGTGAGGACAGGGAGGAGACGCGGGTGCCGTACCGCGGCAGCTCGGGGCGATGGGTGCCTGGCCGCCTCCCATCTCTGTGCAGCAGCGGCCAGCCCCGCCTGCTCTGTCTGAGTCTGGGTGACGAGTCAGATGCTCCAGCCAGCTGTGGGCCTCGCCGCCACAGGGGAGGGGGTGCAGCAAGTGCTCTGCTGAGGACACACACGCAGATAGAGCCGGGATCCCTGCTGCCCACCTGACTGAGAACCTCCGGGACAAAGTCCGGCGCCTTTGTAGAAACTAAGATCATCATAGAGGGAACCTGCATCCCCAGAGAGGAGGGCGGCAGGAAGGAGAGGGAGTGCATCCAAAGTCTTTGCACACGATTTATCCATCACACTGCAGCTGGGGCAGGAGGCACGGGGCCCCAAGTGGGAAGGACAGCAGTGAGCACGCAGGGCCCAGCCTCCTGGGGACAGCCACAGCCTCCCAGGCCTCGGGCGGGAAGGGAGGCGGCCCCGTCGTCCCCAGGAGTTGGCGTGCCCACCTCATTCCTGTGTGGGAAGGTGCTGCCCCATGGTGGGGAGGGGCGGGGAGAGAGAGACAGAGACTTAGAGACAGAGACTGAAAGAGAGAGGGAGAGACAGACAGACAGAGACAGAGAGAGAACTCTCTCCTTTGAGGATCCTTATCCAGCAAAGCCTTCAGAGATGCCCTTGACATGGGCCTGGGGCAGCCGGGCAGCAGACGTCTGGGACTGGAATTCTGAATTCCTGGGCCAGCCCGTTTCAGTCCCCGTTTCACAGCTGAAGGACAGGAGGCTGTCCCCAGCCGGGCGGTTTTAACAGTCTGAGTCTGTGTCTTTGGCCGGGAGGTAATAGCTGTGAACATATTTCAACCCAAGGCCCCTAGTTTGCGCCAGGCCTGTCCCCTGAGTCCGCGGTGGACAAGGGGTGTGGGGCCACCTTGTGTGCACCTCTGCTGGGGTAAGAAGCATGGGGGTGCCCACAGACGTGGGGGCACAGACACCGAGCTACAGGGACGGCCCCCTTTTTTCAGAACTGTGATTCTAGAGATCAGTAAATAGCCCACCGAGGGCAACACAGAGAGACCCTGGGCCCTGGAAAGGGGCGCAGGCACCGAGCGGACCCTCTGGGGACCAGCTCCTGGTGAGCAGGGTCTGGTAGGCAGACGACGCGCTGAGTCAGGGCTGCAGCTGAGTCCACGGGCTCCAGCACTTCGGTGAAAATGCCTTTTTTGGAAGCCAGGCAGTCACTTTCCAGGACTCCCGAGTCCCTGGGAAGTGACGCAGCCCACGGTCAGCGAGAGAAAGGTGCCGGGAAGCCGCCTCGCCTGCCGCGGGCAGCCGGACTCTCCCTCCGCCCCCTCCCTGGCCCGCCCGGGAGCAGCTCCTTGTATGGGAAACGTTTACACAGGAGGCCCCTGCGGGGCTGCCGTCACCCGGCTCTGTGAACCTCCCGCAGAGCAGAGAGGCGGGCGAGGGGGCATTCTCCGATGCCTGTTTTGCTGTGTTTGCAGGAGAGGCTGTGTTCTGGGGGCTGTGGCTGCAAACCCTCTGCTTTTGCCCTCCTGCCTGTGGCCTCGGCTCCCGCCCCGCAGCTCCCCGTTGAAGGGCAGAGTGGGGGTCAGGCCAGAAGGGGCCCCGGGCTGTGGTCGGTCATGGGCAGGATAGGATGAGCAGGGCCCGGGGACTAATGACTGCAGAGGCAGGAACCACGCAGGCGCTTTGGGCTTCTGGGACCACCTGAGGGGTCTTCCCGTGTCCTGCGCTGTTGGCCCGGATGCAGCGGGAAGCGGCAGGCCTCCTGGGCAGTGTCTCTTTGTAGGAAAAGCACACATTGTGCCCCTAGTCTAGCGTCAGCATCCCCATTTCCTTGTGGGGAGCTGCCTCCACCCAGGCCGCATGGTTGGTGCTTACTCTCCCTGCCCGTCTTGTGGCCACCGTTACTTTGTGTGGGCACCATGGGGCATCCGCAGCCCCGGGACTTCCCGCTGGGGCTGGGCTGACATCTGCTTCTTGGGGAGGAGGCCTCCCCGAAGACAGTGCCTCTCAGAGGGGAGCAGGACCGAGAGATGGGTCCCAGTCCCACGGCGCCTGCCCACAGCCCCGCGCCCTCCCGGCATCATTCGCAGCCTGGGGTCCCGCCCCACGGTACGGGACTCCCGCCCGCCAGGCATTCTGGATCAGGTAACTCTTGCCACTGGTTTATTGCTGGAGGCCAGCAGCCGCAAGGCCGTGCCCCGCCCCCGCCTGCCCCTCCCCGCATCCAGGTGCGGCCAAGGCCCTTTGCTTCCTGAGCAGCAGTGCCCGCAGCCCACACGTGCAGTGGTGTGAACACGGTGTCTTCTGGGTTCGTCACTGGAGACGGATGGGTTGGGTAAGGGCTGGCCAAGCCCCTGGCTGGGCTGCCCTATCCGCTTGTGACCCCCTGCCTACAGCGCGAGCCAGCCACCACCTGCTCTTCCGTGTTGGCCAGCACCTGGAGCATGTATGTGCCCGCATAGACAAGAAACTGGCCAGTCACCTGGGCGGCGTGAGACAGGACCCGCAGCAGGCTCCTGCAAGAGAGGGGCGAGGGTCGTCGGGGGTCCTCACCCCACCTCCAGCACATGCCCACGTCCCCGTACTTCCGAGTTCGGGAAGCTGGGCTCTCAGGACCCGCAGCCCCGGGGGCTCGCTGAGGTGCTGCGCTGGTTCCCGGGGTTGAGTGGGGCCTGGACTCTGTTGCCAGCTGCTCCCGCTGCCCCGGGCCTGGGACCACCCTCCGCTGGCCTCCTCCAGTCGAGGTTTGTCCCTGAGTCACTGGAACGCCCGGGGGTCTGTCTGCTCACTCTGGCAGCCTTGTCGATGTGTGGGGTTCGGTGCCGAAATCGGTCAAGTCCAGCCTGAAAGGGGCCCCAGGCTGAAGGAGTCCTAGCAGTCCTGCGGTCGTGACCCCACGACCCGGGGCTCTGAGCGCGGGTGCGACACCCCGGCTTGACCCCGTTGTGGCGTCTCAGTCCCAGGGCTGATGCGGCCTCTGCTGTTCCAGACGGAAACCGTGGCTCGAACTCGGGTCCTCACTCTCTACTTACTAGTTTTTCTTTCTATTTAGTATTTTATGGTCTTGGGGGAAAACAAATTGTGAACTCAAGACTGTCTTCCGAATAAGTCTGTGGCATAAGAACTTTTAGGACAACGTGAGGGCCGGGCTCTGGGTGCAGGGGAGCCGCCCCCCACTTCCCGGCCCCCCAGGACCCGACGACCGTTACCTCAGCAGGGCCTTGAGCCCCATGCACCGGATGTCGTAGGACACGGAGTACATCCCGTACATGGTGGCTTTCACGTTGAGGCAGCCGATGACGTCCCTGGGGTTCAGCTTGTACAAGTCCAAGGTGACCCTCACTATCCCCGATCTCCTCGGCGGCTGGCGGGCTGGGACACAGTTCCCACCCTAGGGCCGTGGAGGGAGGGAGGCTTAGGCACCAACCCAGCTGTGACCTGCGAACCCTGTGATTCTGGGTTTAGGCTGGTCTCCACTCTCCTGTCAGCTTAAAATCAGTTCATGACTAAGCCGCTAATTATCTGAGGAATGTCACAGACCAGTGTGCTCAGACTGCCGTGGGGCCAACCCCCTAAGCTGCCTTGTCTCATGCAGGAGATGCAGGAGACCTGGCCTTGGGCCTGGGTTTCAGGGTGCAGGGATCGGTGGACGGTTGTGCCAGTGACCTGTGGTGGAGACGCACTCACCAGGGTCACCCAGGGCCATCTGGCGGACGTGGACGGGCCGCCCGCAGCTGTGACACCGTCTGCCTGGAGACCGGTGGTCAGCGCTGTCCCGCGGCACAGGGACTCTGCCGGCGGGCGGGTCAGACCCCTCGGCGGGAGCGAAGGCCAGTGTGGGAGCTGCCCTGCATCCTCCGCTGGAGGACCTGCCCTGGAGGGACGCCAACTTCCTGGGGACACTCGTGGGACCCACTCTCCGTCTACCCGAGACATCGGGAGAGGGCAGAGACCCCTGTAAATCCTGGGTTTATAAACAATCTTCCCCACAAAAGCCCTGAAGAAACAGGGCAGGGAAAGCCGTCCCAGGACACATGTGCTGGGCACACGTCCGTGGGGTTTGCCGCGCACGCAGGCCTGCAGGGTCCAGGATTCACACGGAGGCACAGCTATCGTGAACCTTAGGAGTCGGGAGTAGCTGAACGTTAAATTCACTGGCAAAAATCTACTAAATTTGAAGTTAAACCGCATATCCCCCTCAAAGCACCCAAACCCTCCCTGCCAGATACCCCCCTCCGTGGACACGACCAGAGACCCTGGTTTCAGCCCATCAACTCCCATGCGCGATGGGGAGGGGAGGGGGCTGCCCATCCTTCAGAAAATGTTAAAAGTTAAGACGACAGAGTTGGGGTGCGGGGGCTCCATCTGGGATCCCGCCCAGCTCTCTGACGCTGAGTTTTCACGTCGCTCCCCCAGCCTCCCCCTCAAGTCTTGGTCTTACGTCAACGTCAAGATGACCTCCCCAAGGTGGAGACCTAATGGGGTGTGGCTTCCATCATCCCCACCAAACCCCACCCCTGCCTCCCAGGGATCTGTTCTCTAAGGCGTTTGCGTGGAAGCAGGGAGCCCCCTGGCGGCTGCTTCTCAGAAGTCCTTGTCCAGGTCAAACCACAGTGGCCTCGCTGAGAGGAACCCCTCCCGGGGGGCAGCACCTTCCCTCCCTGCGAGGAGCCCGTCCCCACCCTGAAGGACCGACCCCGGGTGAGACTCACGTCAGCCAGGCTGTCCCAGACCGAGGGGCCTCACGCCCCCGGGACCCTCACATCTCGTCCCCAGCATCCTGCCGTCACCCTGTGCCCCAGCCCTGCACCTGCCACGCGAGGGCTTCAACCTGTTATGCGGGAACTGTCTCCCCCAGGGAGTAAACGAGCGTCTCATTCACAAAGCAAACAAAATACCAGCCCCACCAGTTTCCTGGGTCTGCTGAGACACGTGGCCACCAGCTGAGTGCCTTAAAGACAGCGCAGATTTATGCTCAGACGGCTCGGTTCTGCAGGTCAGGCACCCTGAGACACCACGGGCTGTCCTGCTGGGACTGCCGGCCCTGCTCCTGCATGCCATGGCCCGTGGCCCGTCCCCTCATCACTCCTCCTCGTCCGCCTCCTGCCCCCACGCTGACCCTCCCATGTCCCTCTTACAGGACGCTGTGGTGACACTGGCCCACGGATAATCCAGGACCATTACCCCATGTCGAGATCCTTCCCGTAATCACATCTGCCGAGTCCCCTTTGCCATGTAAAGTAGCGCGTCCCCAGGTTCTGGGGGGAGGCCATGGTCCCTGCGGCTGGAGGGCGGGGCTGGCTGGGTGCCGGGAACCCAGCGAGGGAACCTCCACTGACACTTCCTCCACGAGAGTCTGTGAGGGCAGAGCCGGAGCCCTGTGGCCCTGGGCCGGGGGAGCCCCCGCCTCAGCGTTCGCTTTCCTCTCTGGGTTCTGGTTCCCTTAAAAACCTTGGCCGCTGAGGATCTCCTGGTTTTGAAGGCCAGTGAGGCACATAAAAACATGTTTTAGGGGAGGAGGGTAATAGCTCAGGGGTAGAGCACATGCTTAGCATGTATGAGGTCCTGGGTTCAATCCCCAGTCTCTCCATTAAAAAAAAACAAGATGTTTTAATGTTTTGCTTTACATTTTTAGGTGTGTTATGGTGGGAGTGTTTCCCAAGATACATAATCTAACGTTTTGTCAGAAGTAAAACCCTTTATTCTATCTCTTGCTTTTCTAAATACTGCATTCACACACACACACACACACACACACACACATTCCCCTGCTAATTTCACCAGCTATGTTAGCTTGCCGCCTCTCGGGGTCACAGTGAGTGGTCACCGGGTCATGACCGCATGTTCTAAGGATCTGTAGTTACTTACTGGCCAAAGCCTGTCCCTCAGAATTACTGGCCTTAAATCATATAGCCCAAGTTCACAAAGATGCTAGGTTTCCTAGAAAAGCTTAAAAGACTCCCTTTGAGGACAGTGGGTCCAGTTATGAAGTGAACACAAAGGAAAAGTTTAGAAAGCCGGCCGGTTGACACCGAGGTGGGGACCGCACGTCTGCAGGTGAGAAGCCTGCCCAGGAGCTGTCGGGTGACAGCACTTACCGGCGTCCACTTCTGTCCTTTCTCCAAGGCCATGAAGTGCGTGTTGTCCCCCAGCGTCTGGAAGAACTCCTCTGTGTCCACCACTGTGCCGTCTTCCTCCAGCACCAGAGTGACCAGTCTGCTGGTGATCATCAGGGCGTCCAGGGTCTAGGTTGGACCAGGCGGAGTCACAGAGTGAAGGGAGACTCCACTGGGACCAGTCAAGAGGCCTGACTGACTAAGTGATGGTTTCAGAAGTGTTGGCTGATTCTGAGAACATTTTAATGGCACAATGTCCTGGGACTCAGTCTCTGCTTGGAAAAAGAAGCTGAAAACCGTCACAGACGTGTGTTCCTCAGAGGCTAAGTGATGACACGGGATAACAGTCACAGGTTTGAAAATTACCTGCTTATCTGGACAAACAGAAAACGCCCCTGTACACGTGGGACTTAAAGAGCCCACATGTCGGGTGGCGTGCTTAAAGGTCTCTGTTCAGAGACTGCGTGCCGGGCACTCACTTCTGGTCTCTGTGGGAGCCGATGGTTCGTCCCTGCTTGGTGCCCAAGGACACTTTCAGACGAAGGACTCTTCTTTCCTCATCTTTATAACCAAAACCAGATTTCTGAAGTCTGCCGCCCCTAGTACTCTCCCTCATCAAGGAAATGAAGCTACGTTAGGTTTTGGTCTCAATACGTGAATCTTGTACGACACAGGGACACAGCACTGTTCACTTTGATTCTTTACACCTTCCCTTTAGCCCCTTAGAAGGCACCTCCAACCCGTTTGTCTATTTTTCAATAATAATTACAACTATAAATGCTGTATGTACACGTTACAAAATAAACACTCTCTGTGTGCTAGGTATTCAATCACTTTTTGACCGAATGAAAATTTTAAAATGACGTTACGATATATGTTTAATTTTCTCACAGATTTTCCTAAATTTTTGCGGTTTGGGGTTTTGATATTGATACCCCATCTATCAAAAATAAATATTTCAACCCAAATACTTAAAAGCAAAGAAGAAGGCTCCCTCCAACCTTCTGAAACCAAGACAGACACTTCCTGCACCGGCTTGTCCCCGGGGCCCAGGGAGCCGCGGGCCGCGCCGCGGGCGCTACCTTGCTGAGGAGCTCGCCCAGGCTGCCTGCCATCAGCCCGCGCCGGCTGCTGCGGTCGTGGCTGGACACCCGGAAGGGGCGAGCGGGATGCTTCAGGGGAGCCAGCAGGACCTTCTTCGTCTGCGACCCCATGAATGTCAGGGGCCTGGAAACGGAGCAGAGGAGTAAAACATCTTTGACGTTCCTTAAAGAAAAAAAAAAGTTTTCAAGGAGAGGTTTGAGGGGCACATAAATGACAGAACGTTCATGTTTGCACCTAAAAGAAAGAAATCCAGTGGCTGAGGACTGTTAAAAACCATGTACGTGATCTCCAAGAAACAGACGAATTACACAGAAAATTTAAAGCACAACCACTACTGCACCTGTTTCACCAGAACACTCGACGTCCTTGCAGTGACCATTTGAGAAGGAATGGTCCGGGCATCAAAGTCAATAAGCTGATGAGAGCTGTATTCTGCAAACGTGGGCTTTAGGGCTGGAAACCTAAGAAGATTTCTTGAGGCCGTGGGGTAGCTGAACAGAGATACAGAAACAGGCACAGACACACATAGTTACACGTGCACAGAAAGGCTAAGACGGGACTGTAAACGCCAGACACTGGCACTAGAGCGTCAGCCCGCTTTGGGAGCTCAGGATACGCAAGGAACAGCCGAACATCGCCACCACGGACGCTGCGAGAACAAGCGCTCAGTCACTTGGCACTTTGGAGTGAGTTCCGCGTTTATCAGAGAAGCAACTCAGAAACTCACCATAAAAGAGAACTAACACAGGAAAAGAGCCATGACAGCGAAGCCAAGTCAAGACTTGACTTTCTGAGGGAAAAATCTCACACCGGGAAGTGTTTGTTACCTCGCAACCAGGGAGAAGCAGTAAATGAGGGCCAAACGAGAAACAGCCAAGAAGCTCCTTACGTCCACAGTGACTTAGCAAACATATTCTGCCTTACAAATACCACCTCACTCAATCCTCAGAAAACCCTGGTTTCCTCAATTTGCAGACAAGGAGACACAGACGAGAGAGCAGCCCCAGGGCTCAGAGCCAGGGTTCGGCGCAGGCACGTGGTCTTTGCCTCTTCAGCGTGGTCTGGGGGCCACACACTAAGGATACTTACATGCGTGTCACACACGTGTATATACTTAGTGTGTGTGCACACTAGGCACACCCACACACACGCATGTGTATATATACACATATTACACACACCCCCCACACACACAGAGTTATCTACGCTTCATTTTCCCAATCAGACTGGAATTCCTTATGAACAAAGGCACCAACCTGGACTTGGGACTGGTGTCTGAGGTGCAGTGGGTGGGGAGGGGACAGTCTGGTGGGGCTGAGTCCTTAATCTGATGCTGTCTCTGGGCAGATGGTGTCCGAATTGAGCTGAGTTCTTGGACGGACACCCTGCTGGCATCTGAGGAAGGCTGGGGCGGGGGAAAGGCCCCCGCCCCAGCCTTACCGTTTGGAGTTGGTACCAGTACACTTTTACCTACAGCGTCAGCAAGAATTTGGTCTGAAGCACATCCAGCGGGCGTCACGTTAGTGCCTGGTGACGGGGGCATCTGAGCAGCTGCCCTGGCCGTGACGTGTCGGCTCCTCACGGCATCAGCTGACTCCAACTCAGGCGTACATGGAAGTGTGACCCCAAGTCTCAGATGAGAAAGTGAGGCTCAGAGTGGTTTCTCAATGTCACCTGGTTAATCAGAACTATCTCTGAACTTCACAGCCCAGGCGACAAGCTGCAGCTGGAGGCGGTGAGGGGGCACTGGCTGGAGGGACAGCAGTCCCCACTCAACCTGGCTCCTCTCCAGGGCTACCACCCAGCCTGTTTCCAGTGGGGCAGCTGCAGGGGACTGAGCCGGTCGGTGGTCTCTGACGCGGGACCCACCAGAGCCAGGGAGCCCGACCGAGTAAGTCCCAGCCTGAACCCACGCAGCAGCAAACCTGGCCCCTGGCCCCCGCACCTCTGCCCTGGTTATACCAGCCTCCCCAGTTACACAACACAATGAGCCGGCGCCCACGTTCTGCTAAGCCGACGCTCGGTCCCTTCCCTGGTGACCTGGCAGACGGGGCATCAAGGATTCTCCACATGAGCCTTCGCAGTTAGAACCTGGCTTTGCTCTCCACCTCACTGCAGCATCTGAAACTTGAGCTGGCTGTGAGGAGGACCCGATAAGAACAGGGTGAGAATGCATACTGGGTCCCACAGAGGCTCAGGCTGCGGAGCGGTGGCCAGCGTCAGAGTGGCCCTCCTCTGGGGCCGGGGAGCCCTGGACCCGCCAGCAAGAGCCTTCCCCTCCCCAGAGCAGGTCATTCCTGCGTGTCCAGTCTTTACCTCCTTGAGTAGACACAGGCTATGGCTTACCCAGAGCAACAGGACAAAGTTCACGTCTTGGACCCTAGGCCCTGGCCCTGGTGGTCCATGACAGACTGTGGGTGTGAACAGCTTTGACCCAGTTCGGTCTGGTCCTGGCTGGGGACACTCATGCCTCGGTGAGCACCGGTGCCCCGGTGACCTGGCCCGCCCGTCACTAAGCGCCCACTGTTGCTAACGTCTGACCCGGTTTGTGCTGGCAGTCACTCCTGGTCCTCCCTCTCCGCTGCCCTGGAGACAGCCCTGCTGATAAAGAAGGACATCCGGTCTGTCGTTCCTCCTACCGCTGCGCTTCCCCGCGGAGAGCCGGGCCACTGCTGGGGAGAAGGCTGGTGACCCCTGCGGATGTGGGCACTACGCTCTGCCCTTCTTTTCAGGGAACAGGACGAGTGACCTGACGTGCCGGATCATATAAGATCAAGACCATCTTGAAGATAATATAAAAAGGGGCTAAATGAAGTTTTAGGCACACTAAACTACTTAATACATCCCGCGTACTCACTGCGCTCCTGCTAAATGAACCAAGCACAGATTAATCCGGCGCACTCCTGAACACGGTAGTCATGTCACCAGCCACCAAAACAAGGTTGGGAGTGTGTTCCTAGTCTCCTTCAGTGACTCACGACATCGAAGTTGACCCCAGAGCACCGAGAAGTCTTAGAGTTTGGCTTTTAGATACACATCACCTTGGTGACCGTCAGTGCCGTCACTTGGAGTGGGAAGAGAAACATCTCATTACACGGAAAAAAACAAGGAAACAGATTGTTTCAGGGAAATCAAGATAAGGGAAGTCAGACTTGATAGAACATTCTTGAAAATTGTGAGGCGGTGCACCTCCCAGAAGTGAGGGAACAGGGAAGCCTCTGCGTTGTTCCCCGAGGGGGTGAGGAGATTCAACTCATAAGTGTGAAATCAAGGTGCAGGTGTGGGCCGACAGTGGCCTTGAGCCCGCCCAGGGAGATGGAGCTGGCCGCACAGGTCATCTTTCCACGTCACCCTCTGGACTGACGTTTCCTCTGGACGTCTGGATGGAAAGGCAGGCTTGGGCAAAGGGCCTGTGTCGTCAGGTGGACAGGAGGGTTCATACGAAGAATTAAAGGGCAGACAGGTGGAGGACATATGTCCCAGAGGACTGTGCCAGAGCCGGTGACAAGGACAGTGCAGGAAAGGGAAACGGTGACCCCAGCCACAGGCGTGCAGAGAGATGGGGCAGGGCTCAGAGAGCACTCATCCGGCCTGGCAGGGCCTCCGAGACCGTGGGATAGTGGCTGTGGGGACAGAGGCAGGAGTGGCAGGGTCTCACCCAGGGCGGGAAGCAGAGGGGCTCTGGCTTAGTGAGGTTCGGGCTCAGCAGCGCCCGGCCCGGGAGAGGTGACACAGGGGGCGTGTCAGCCCCACGGGGAGCAGCCTGTCGGCCTGTGACAGCTTGCGGCTGTGCCTTGACTGACCCAGCAAAATGCCTGGCGCAGAAAGAGTGTTCAAGTAGGAACATGAAGCCTTTAAACACTTTGTTACTAAAACAAGAGTTTAGACCACGAAGGTGTAAGCATCAAGAACCTGGGCGATTTACTCAGAAAACACAGTTCCTTGCTTGCATCACTTAACAAGGCTGGTAAAACGTGTGCTGAAAGGCCAGGTATACAAATCCCAGAGCTCCTCCTTCAAGGAGAGGACAGAGGAGCTAACGAGTTGCAAAATCAGCCTCTTTGCACCAAATGTAACAGAGCAGCTCTGTGACAGCTGCAGGGGCGGCAGGACACGAAGTCAGAGTAGCCTTCGGCTGCGAGACACGCGCCACGTGGACGCCCTGGGTGTTTAGAGCTGAGCTGGGAGACCTCGGCGGCTTCCACTAGGACCCAGGCCTCGTGATCATAGACGAGGAACAAGCAAACGACGGGGGTCGAGGTTTTATAACTGCACACATGCATCGATCTTAAAAAACAGACGTGTACATGGAATGAATCCCTGCCTTGGCAAATGCAGGTATGTGCTGATAAAGGACAGAGTCAGCAACATCCCTAATTATCCGAGAAACGCAGATCGCAGCTACACTGAGGTATCACCTCACAGCAGCCAGAATGGCCGTCATTCAAAAGTCCACAAACGATAAATGCTGGAGAGGCTGTGGAGAAAAGGGAACCCTCCTACACTGCTGGTGGGAATGCAGTTTGGTGCAGCCACTGTGGAAAGCAGTATGGAGGTTCCTCAAAAGACTAGGAATAGACTTACCATATGACCCAGGAATCTCGCTCCTGGGCACATATCCAGAGGGAACTCTAATTTGAAAAGAGACATGCCCACTGTTCACAGCAGCACTACATACAACAGCCAAGACACGGAAGCAACCTACATGTCCATCAACAGATGATGGGTAAAGAACGTGTGGTACATTTATACAATGGAATACTACTCAGCCATAAAAAATTATGAAATAATGCCGTTTGCAGCAACATGGATGGACCTGGAGATGGTCATTCTAAGTGATGCAAGACAAAGACCAGTATCACATGAGATCACTTATATCCGGAATCAAAAAAAAAGTGACACAAATGAACTTATTTACAAAACAGAAGCAGACTTACAGACATGGAAAACAAACTTATGGTTACCAGGGAGGAGGGAGACGGGGGAGAGACACACTGGGGGTTCAGGATTTGCAGATACTAACTACTATATATAAAGTAGGTAAACAACAAGTTTCTACTGTACAGCACGGGGAACTATATTCACTATCTTGTAATAACCTATAATGAAAAGGAATATATGTACGTACACGTATGACTGAAACATGATGCTGTGCACCAGAAATTGACACAACATTGTAAACTGACTGTACTTCAATTTAAGAAACAGGAAGAAAAGAAAAAGACAGCAGGACACACTCTACCAGCCAGTTTACATTAAGGACCACTGAGAGGAGACGGAACTCGCCATCACCTTGCCTATGGCTCCCGTGGGCCTGCGGCCTGGATGTGGCTTTAAAGAAGATGGAAGACATTTTCCCCTTCAGCAAATATTACAGGTTGTGTGGAAGAAAGCGGAGTCCCAAGGATGACGGCAGCTCAGCTTGAAAGCAGGAGCTGGACCCCGTGTGCCCCCAACAAACAGCCCCTCACTCCTAGAGCCGCCGTGCTCAGAGGGACTGTCCAAGCAGAACAGATGCTCCCGTGCTGATTTGCCAAAACCTCACCGGTCGTTTCTTGCTGGCCCAGTGGAACGTCTCACAGAGGCACTCTGGGTTGCGGATGGTGCTGCATGTCAGGTGCGGGCCGGGCAGCCTTAGCGCTGCAGGCCTTGCCGCCCCTGCTCCAGCCGCACCGGCCAGGAGTCAGTGTCCGCCTACCGTCCTTACGACTCAGCCCACCAGTGCAGCGCTGGGAGGAGCTCGGGAGTTCCCGGGGAGAAACTTCACTGCTGCCCCTGGGAGCAGCACTGAGGGGTGAGTGGGGCTGGAGGGAGGGGGAGAAACCAGGAAAGACACCAAGCGCCCTTCCTTCAGGTGTAAACCAAGCCAGCGAAGATGCAGAAACAAGTCGCTTCTCACCTTGCCGGGGGTCCCATCGCGGACTTCCGTTTTCTGTTTTCATTTGTTTTTAAAGAGAAAGGGGGAGCATCAGACAGACCCCACTGCCTTCCGGCGGCCGACCTTGAGCCTTGAACGTTCCACACAGACCCCTCTAGGAACCCAAGTTCAGGAGCTTACGGATCACGCCCCTTCTGTAAAATGGCCCTCCACTCCTGACACCTTGGAAAACCTGTATTTAAGAGAATTCAGAGGCTTCTCTGTCCCTTTTGAACTGCTTTGAAGATCTCCAGAGAAACCCGATCCCTCCCTTAAATCTCGCAAGTTGCCACCACCCGGTGTTTTTAGGACTTCACGGTTCAGATTGGTTTGCGATGCGAAGACGAACCCAGGAGGGGAAAAGGCGATTCTGGGCCTTCTCACGGTCTCGCGGCGTGGAGGGGCGAGGAGGGGGCGGGGTCCGCGGGCCCCTCTGTCTCGCACCCCGGTCCGGGCAGCGCCACCACCTTCCCCCAAGTCCCGCCTTACAAGCCCGGGGGCCCAGCCGGCGCGCCCGGTCGGCCCTTCTGCGCTGCCCTGAGGGGTGATCTGATCTGGTGGCCCCGAGGCCGCCCAGCTTCCCCACCAGCACCCCTCCCCTCGCCCCAGCACCCCCCGCCCCGCGGTCCAGGACCCCGAGAAGCCGGTCCCCGCGCGCCGCGGGGCTGTCGCGTCCACAGGCCGCAGCGGCAGAGAAGCGCCGGCTCCTGCTCATCACGGTCACCTGTTCCGCGGACGCCCGCACACCTCAGGAGCCACACCTGGCGCGGGGCGGCCAGCTGGCGGAGGCTCGGGCCGGGGGCGCGTGGGCGCAAGGGACGCGGGGACGCCGGGCCCCGGGAGTGGCGGGGCGCGTTGGGGCGCGGGGGTGCGGGGCGCGGGGACGCCG